AACTCCATCCCTTCACGAACCTCAGGAGTGCCCTTTTCCTAGGAATGTCACCATTCCAGTCTTGCTCTGCGCTTCCGGCTGCCAGCGCGCCGCACGCTCCCATGGAGTCTGGGCGGGGCGGAGGACCCCGGCAGCAGCGGGTCGGCGGTCATGCGGACGGGTTCACAGGGCCAGCGTTGGCAACACCAGGCGTCCAGGACCGTGAGCTGCGGGACGAGGTGGGGGAAACCTCACCCCCAGCCTCGTGGACGCCTTGGCAAGAAGGGCTGCCTGCGGGGTCATAAGATGCGTGAGCTGGAGGCGGAGAGGATCTCAGAGCTGAGGGAGGAGAGGAAGAGCAGGCGCCAAGGACGTGGACACAGACCTGCGCCGAGTGGTCTAGAGCTGAGCAAAGGAAAAGTAAGGAATCTGCCGGCCAGAGCCAGAGAGAAACTTTAAGAGGCGGGGCCTCTGCCAGGGATGGGGACTTTTACTGCCCACTAAAGGAAACCCGGAGGGACGAATCACCAAAGAGGACTTGCAGCAATCTGGAGCTTAAGATGACATTTAAACCAGGAATTGCTGGTTGCCAGCATTCGCGGTTGTTAGACTAAAAGCTTTTGCGTTCAGCCCTGGAATCCCGGCGTCACAGCATTGAGTGTGGGGGGTGGGAACCCCCTCCCAGCCGCTGGGTCGCTCTGGGTCCCCTTGGATTGCGCCCGCGCCACCGCCCAAGGACGATCCAGGCCTCCCAGGCCCAACTGCAAACCTCGGGCTGGGTCCCAGGTGGCTGTTCTAGGACGGGAGCGGCAGGGACCCCACATCTTCCAAGGCTTCTCCGGAGTGCGCGCTTCCCAGGGAAGGTGTCAGCTTTGGGAGCGCATTTGAGAACCTAGAAATACCGATGCGTCGGAAATCCAGTGGAATGTCCTCGTAGGAGGCTGAAGGCTGTAAACGAGGCTTGGAAGAGAGTTACTTTGCATCTGGACTTAAAATTGTGCAATTTTAAAAGGCGAATTTCAGTTTAAAAAAAAAGAAAAGGAAAGAGAAATTGCAGAGCCAACGTTGTCCCTGACCTGCCTTTCTTGCCTCTCTTTCCGGCATGTGCCAGAAGTCCTGAAACCAGGAGATCATAGGTGATGAAGACCATGGGAAAATGATCTGATATACTGAAACCACTTACATTTTAAATATTCCGTCAATAAAGTAAGCCCGTGTAAAGGGTGTATATTTCATGTTATTTAAAGAAACCTACACACTCCAAAAGGATATTTTACCACCAAACACTTAAAACTCCACGCAAAGCCCTTGTTTAAGCAGAATGAGAAATGGCCACAAGCGGCTGAGGTTCTTTCCAAATGCTCTAGTACTGTTTTCCTTCCCCCTGTGCCCGCCATAAAACAGGCGTGGCAAGTGGCAGGTCGGGCCATGGGCAGGGCGTCCGCCACTCGCGGGTGGCTGGCCAGGGGGACGCAGCGGGGCCACCGCGGCCAGGCGGAGGCCGCACTCGCGGGCCACAGCGCCCCCTCGCCGCCCGCCGCGCGACTCCCGGCCCGCGCGCCCTTCCTCCCTCTGCTCCCGGGAGAGGAGAGCAGAGCCCGAGGAGGACCCGGCAATGCCGGCTCAGAGCCTGGGACTTCTAGGCCAGCCATGTCCGCAAGACCCTCAAACCCAAGCCTGCGCATCGGGCGCTCCGCGTGGCCTCGCGGGAAAACGCGGCCAGCTGAAATGTGCACACCGAGTTGACTTGTTCTAAATGTTTCGGCCACTGTAGGGAGGGCCAGGAAAGAAAAATAGGACCAGGTCAACTTTTTCTTCTTTTTTTTTTATTTTTTATTTTAGTGCACACTCAGGGAGGATCCCCAGCTATCCGTAAACTATTCACTGTCTGGCTAATTGTTACAAGGGATTGCGCTTTCCAAGTAATTATCAGATCTCCACCCCATGCCCGCGCATTTTCTTCCCTTCCTGCTCCAGTGGCTAGAAAAACAGCGGGACCCAAGTGCCCTGCCTTACCCAGGCGACCCGGTAGGCCTGAACTGCCTTTCCCCCAGGCCCAGCTCTTTGGAGGACAGCTGCCCCGTGCGGCCGGGGCGCCCCTCGGTTCTCCCAGGGTTCCCGGACAGCTTCAGGGAGCCCCGCCACCCTCGCAGGCAATGAGGACGCCGCACCCAGCCCAGGCACTTGCAGTGAGTGTTTTTTCTCATTGATTTTTGTTGTTGGTGGTGGTAGTTTTAAAGAAGATCAAGACAACTTTAACCTAAGAAATGAAAAGTGTGTGTGTGTGTGTATTTAAATCAGAGGCCTTTAACAGGAAACGGAGTTTATATATCCCAATAACAATAAGGAGCATAAGTGTTAATGTCCCTGCGTAGGCATTTTAATTTGCTACAGTCACCACCAATAAAAAAGGCATGTAGTCCGATTCGACTGCTTAATAGTGCAAGGTAGACAGTCTTTATTACTAACAGGCAGCAGTATGGAAAATTTAGATTTCAGCGGAGGAGTATAATTGCTGGGGGAAAACGCAGGCAGGAAGGAAGAGAACTTGGTCTAGGTGGGCAGCAGTGAGAACACAGGGGGATGCAGGCTGGCAAGAGCAGAACCCCCCAAAGTCACATGCGCTTATCTGGTTATAACAGTTAATTAATGTCAAAACCAACTATATCCAGTCATAGGCTCCTGCACCAAACTGGGGATATTTTGCAATAACTGGCTGTTTTCTCTTCTGCTTCTGGCAGAGGTCAGGTGTGTGTGTGTCTGTTTGAGGGGAGTTCAAGGAAGGGGGAGGTGGGACAGGCTCCAGTGTTAATGAAACCATTGTAGGGCATTAGCTTTTAGAAATGGAAATAGTCCAGGCCAGCCATTCACTTGATAAAAATTAAAGCCGGTTTTTAAACTTAAATCAATGAAATTGAAAGCCAACCTGAATGGCTGCAATCTGACCTGTGCTGTTTCTTTTCCCACCGGAGACTATCCAGAGCCTGTCCCTAGAGGAATTCCCTTCCTGGAAAACCAAAAATGCCCTACCTTCATTTATTCTCTGGTGAGCTCCACCTGGCTGCAGGACTCCTCTCTCTCTCTCTCTCTCTCTCTCTCTCTCTCTCTCTCTCTCTCTCTCTCACACACACACACACACAAAATAATTGATTTAAAGTACCTTCTTGAATTAGGGTCTCCCACATGGAGTCGCAACATTGTCCGTGCAGGGCTGCTCAGCCCTGGCCTAGTCCTCCCCTTGCCCCCTGTGTAGGAAGTGGGGTGTGTGTATAGGCACTGAGATAGGAGGTGTTGTGATTTGTAGGAGGAGTGGTGGGCAGAGCAGTGTGGGGAAGGGGTGGGTAGGAGCGCTGGGGTGGGGTGGGTAGTTGGAGGCTGGTGGGAGGGAGGGGCCGCGAGCCTAAACACACCTACCTGGAGTGACACGCCCGCCTGCTGAGGAGGTGTCCTGGTCCAGCCCAGCACTGCGATTTGCACCTGGCTCCCTGGGACCTGGGGAAAGACAAACTCAATCTGGCTGCCGGGAGCGTTCCTTGTGTGTCTCCAGACCAGTTTGAGGCTCCAGCTCCGCGCTCAGAGGCCTTGGACACACACCGAGACCTGAGAACACTGAGGCAGCTCCGCCAGCCTCCAAGCCACCAGGGATGGAGTGGCAGCTACAGGCCCGAGCTCCCCAGCCGGGCCTTCTACGCCCTCCGCCGCAGCCTCCCGAGGAGGCTCTGAGGAACAGACACCTGTTGGGTGGGCGCCCTCTCCCGGGCCAGCACACACCTTACCCCTTGGAGACCCTGAGCGCCCTCCATTGACAATAACTCAGACTTGGTGGCCAGACCCTTTCCTGCCTGCCCCGGCGAGGGAGGGATGGGGCGGGTTCCGAGGCTGGGGTCCCGAGGGCTGTCGCTAACCACTTCTCTTTCAGGCCCCACAAGGCACCTCCCGAGCCGCAGGGTACCTGAGCTACCTGTGATGCCCACTGCGCGGTGTCAACCATCTTCCCGAGGGGGCGGAGAGGCTCAAATCAGACGCAGCTCTTCCGGTAACAATGTTCTCCCCAAATCCGAAGGAAGCTTCAACTTAAAACAAAACAAAACAAAACTCTTGGGGCGTGAGGCTTGTTCCCGGACGAAGCCCTCGCTGGCGGCTTGGGTCCAGACGTTCGCAGCATGGAAGGTCCTAACGCCCAGGACCCCAGAGGCTCCTCTGTGGACTTGAGCAGAAGGCTTACCTCCGGGCCCTCGCGGCAGTTCCAAACCAAGGAGTCAGAATCCTAGCTAACGCTTGGCGACGCAGAGCTCCAGAAGCAGACGAACAGACGCGAGGTCACGCGGGGAGCCTGGGCAGTGTGGCCAGATGGACCGCAGAAGGTGGAAGTGAGAGCCGCGCTCGCTACCCCAAGGTGGACCCGGGCTGCGGGTGTCCCCACCCTGCTTTCCAGCTCCCCGCGGCTCCTGGACTGGGCACTGGTGACGGGGGTGCAGTCACCTGGGCCGGCCTCTCGGGGTGGCCTGGGGTGCACTCGCGGTGCGTCCCCCAAGAGGAACCCGTCCGGATGGACCGGGGGCGGCTGTGCCTAGCCGGTTGCGGGCCGAGCAGGAGCTGGGCAGTGGCTGGATGGGGCCCGGGGGGTGAAGAGGGCGGCCGGGCGGAGGTGGGAGCCGGCGGGAGCGGAGTGGGGGAGGTGGCTGGGAGGACGTGCCAGTGGGAGGGGTGCGCCTAGGCGCGCAGCTCCGCCTGGCCCAGCTGCAGGGCCGAGGGCTGGGGCCGGAGCAGCGAGAGAGACGGCAGCGCCACAAAAGCCTGCGCGTCCCTCCCTCCCGCTGCCCGCCTCCTCTCCCCCGCCCTCTCCTCCTCTCCACGCTCTTTGCCCCTCCCCCGGCGGAGGCCAGGCGGCTGGAGCGGGCGGAGCAGGGGAGGGGCGGGCACCAGAATATGCAGATGAGCGCGTGACGGACAGCTCCGTGTTCCAATGTCCCTCGGAAACTCGAGCGCTCCTTCCTCAACTCCTCACTCCCGACTCCAGACTCCCCCAAACCCCGACCGCCGGCCTGGCGCGCGGCTGCGCCCACCGGCTCCGCGCTGCCGCCGCCGCCGCCGCCGCCGCCACCGCCACCGCTGCCGCCCTGCCGTTCCCCCGGCCTGCGGGCCGCCCGGGCTAGTGCCTAGGCCAGCCTGCTCCGGCCCGCGGCCCCGGTGCCCGCCGCCGCGCCGCGCCCCGGCCGGGCGTGGATGGAGGGTGCCGCGCGCCCTGCCCGCTGCTCGGCGTGACGCGGGCCCCGCGCCCCGCGCCCACCATGTCCTACCCGCAGGGCTACCTGTACCAAGCGCCCGGCTCGCTGGCGCTCTACTCGTGCCCGGCGTACGGCGCGTCCGCGCTGGCTGCGCCGCGCAGCGAGGAGCTGGCGCGCTCGGCGTCGGGCTCCGCGTTCAGTCCGTACCCCGGCTCCGCGGCCTTCACCGCACAGGCGGCCACTGGTTTCGGCAGCCCGCTGCAGTACTCGGCCGACGCCGCAGCCGCCGCCGCTGCCGGCTTCCCGTCCTACATGGTAACCGCACGGGTGGGGACGCGGCACACCCGGGTTCGGGGACCCTGATGGGGCGCGGGCTGAGTGGGGCCGAGGATCGGCGAGTGGGGGCGCGGGGAACGTGGCGCAGGCGGCGGCTCCGGAGTCGCTGGCTCGGGCAGCCGCAGGGCTGGCAGAACAAGGGGCCGGGCTGACAGGCAGGCGGTCCGGCCAGCGCGGGATAGGCAGTCCTCGTCCCTTTCACTTGGCTCTCGGGATAATCTTCTCTAAGAGCCTGGGAGGTGCGACTCCAGCGGAGTGGGCTGTCGTGGGTTGTTCCTGATCACAACTGCAGATACCGAAGGATCCCGAGCGGGCTGGGGGCTCGCCAGCATTGGCTTGGGGCGCGAGGGTGGGCGCTGCTGTTGCTTTGGCAGTTCGCACTTACTTGCCAGGCTTGGGGTGGCGGGGTCACGGAGTTGGGGGGAGGGCGCGGAGCATCTGGTTTCCTGGGCCCGGCCTGCAGCTCCCTACTTTTGGCCTTAATATGTCCCACAGACCGGGCTTTCGGAAAAACGTGTTGGCGCCCGTGGGACTCGTCAAGTGTCCCCGGAATCCTCCCTGCACCGAGAGCCTCTGCTACTCCAGCGACCCGGGATCGGCCCGCGTGCCTCTCGGTTCTGCAGCTGGGCCCGGCCCGGGCCGCGTCGAAGCACTTTTCGGGCGATTGAGGCCATTCTGGGGGGCTTGTTGCCACTACCCTCCGTGGGTGGAATTCTGAGGCAGTGACTGAGTAGCTGAGGCCTTGGCTAAGGCTGCAAACGCCTTGAATTTAAACGTTAAAGGATGAATTAAAATGCTAATTACCGCGTATTTGAAGAATTCGAAACGGTGACTGGCTTCTGAGTTGCAAATTGGATTTAGAGAGCTTTTGGAGCGGTGAATAGCAGAGTGGGGGCTCTGGGGTGTTTTTTTTTTAACCATATAAGGGCGGGAAGGGGGTGTAGGGGGCAGCGCTGGGGCAATCCGGGGAAATTTAGATATCAAGAAACCACCTGGAGGCCTGAGTGTTCGAGTGCGCGCGTTTGCGTACATTGTGCCCGCGGCTCGGAGTATTTAGAGGAAGGCATGTCCTTGTAGAAAAGTGAAATAGATAAAAAATTCGAGAATAAAATTGCAGTACTTTTGTGATCATCAGTTACCTGTGCTTTTCCTGCTGTCTTGATGCGGGAAGTGCGGCACCAGCCGGCTGCGGGAGGGCAGAGAGGTCGCCCCACTTACACACAGGCTCTTGTTGGTTCCAGGGAGCGCCGTATGACACTCACACGACCGGGATGACTGGAGCCATCAGCTACCACCCTTATGGCAGCGCGGCCTACCCGTACCAGCTCAACGACCCGGCGTACCGCAAGAACGCCACGCGGGACGCCACGGCCACGCTCAAGGCCTGGCTCAACGAGCACCGCAAGAACCCCTACCCCACCAAGGGCGAGAAGATCATGCTGGCCATCATCACCAAGATGACGCTCACACAGGTCTCCACCTGGTTCGCCAACGCGCGCCGGCGCCTCAAGAAGGAGAACAAGATGACTTGGGCCCCGAGGAACAAAAGCGAGGACGAGGATGAGGATGAGGGCGACGCTGCGAGGGGCAAGGACGAGAGTCCCGACAAGGCGCAGGAGGGCACAGAGACCTCAGCCGAGGACGAAGGTGAGCGGGCTGCGGCCAGTGGGCCGGCGCGAGGTTTTGGGCGCTTTCTTCCCAGGCGGGGCGCAGAGCCGCGGATGGGAGGAGGACGGAGGACGGTGGCCGCCTCCCATACTAGGTCCGGGCCTGGGAAAGCGGCTGCCTAGCCTCGTCCAGACCCGCGGCCAAGTAGGCCTAGAGATTTCTCGGGGCTCTTTGGGGAGGTCGGGCTTGGGGCGAGGAGGGATCACGGGGGGACGAGGGGTGGCGAGGAGGGATCACGGGAGGCCCCGGAGTACCCGAACTGGGGCGGAGGGGCGGAGAGGCTCCCGGTGTTCCACCGAAGTGCCCACGTTCCCCGCAGGGATCAGCCTGCACGTGGACTCGCTCACTGATCACTCTTGCTCGGCCGAGTCCGACGGGGAGAAACTGCCCTGCCGCGCTGGGGACCCCTTGTGCGAATCGGGCTCAGAGTGCAAGGACAAGTATGACGACCTGGAGGACGAAGAGGACGACGAAGAGGAGTGCGAGCGCGACCTGGCCCCACCCAAGCCCGTGACTTCGTCTCCGCTCACCGGCGTGGAGGCGCCTCTGCTGAGCCCCGCTCCCGAGGCTGCGCCCCGCGGTGGCGGCGGTGGCAAGACACCGCTGGGCAGCCGGACGTCGCCCGGCGCACCGCCGCCTGCCAGCAAGCCCAAGCTGTGGTCGCTGGCCGAGATCGCCACGTCGGACCTCAAGCAACCGAGCCTGGGCCCGGGCTGCGGGCCGCCGGGGCTGCCAGCTGCCGCCGCACCCGCCTCGTCCGGGGCACCTCCGGGCGGCTCGCCCTACCCCGCCTCGCCGCTGTTGGGCCGCCACCTCTACTACACGTCGCCCTTCTACGGCAGCTACACAAACTACGGGAACTTGAACGCCGCGCTGCAGGGCCAGGGCCTTCTGCGGTACAACGCGGCGGCCACGGCCCCCGGCGACACGCTGCACGCCGCGCCCAAGGCGGCCAGCGACGCGGGAAAAGCGGGCGCGCACCCGCTGGAGTCCCACTACCGGCCCTCTGGCGGAGGCTACGAGCCCAAGAAAGGTAGGCTGCCCGGGGTGCTGTAGGGAGGGACCCTGGGTGGTGAGAGTACTGAGGAACCCGAGGACCCCGCGGTGGACCGGGCCAGGGAAGACCCCTGCAGCTGGCAGAGGAAGCCTGTGCCACTTACCAGAGTAAAGGGACAGATAGATCAAGCCCCTGGTAGGACCTGAATTAGGGGAAGGGAGGGAAGGGTGGAAGGTTGGAGACCAACAGGGCGGTCCCCTTTTTAGTTCTACCCTGTTATTATTTACTCTTTATTTAATTTGCTATTAACATTATCATCTTGACTCTTTTGCTTTGGCAAATACATAATTGCCACGAAATGCAAATTACAGCCTGTCTCCCTGCTGAGTGAGTCCTAGCTTCCGTGTGCTGCTGTGTTTTGTTGGTTAAGCAGACTCTCAGCTAAATGCCCTCGTCTGCCTTTGCAGAAAGCCAAACATTCCCAGTTACTCTCAGAAACTCTCAGAGGCTGGATCTCCTAAAAGTAGAAAATAAAAACTTCCCCCCTTTCTCCTCCCACTTCTATGTTGTCCCTACAGAGCTTCCCTAGGAGTTCAAGGGGAAAGACAGTAATGAAAACTAGGGGACATAATCAAAATTTGTCTCAGCTAGAAGCAGCGGTGACCATTGGTGTCCCTGGACTGTGTACCCTGTGTATGGGTGCGGGACTGGGGGTTCCTGGCTGTAGGGTCCATTCTCACTAACTGCCCTCCCCTGACAGATGCCAGTGAGGCCTGCACGGTGGTTGGCCCAGGCGTCCAGCCCTACCTATAGAAGGGCCCAGTTCAGCAGTGCAAGTAAGTGGGCACCCTGGTGCTTCTCCTACCCTGGGGAGCCTCCCAGCCCGGCTTGGGCAGTGTGTTTTCTTGCTTCTTGCTCTGGGTTGGAGGATAGAGCCTTGCTGTCTTCCCAGGCCTCTTTCTTTAAGGGTAATATTCGTTCTGTTTTATAGATCCCTTTTTTGCTCTAGCTGTGTGTTGATTATATATGTGTGTGTTTATATGTATATACGAGCACACACACACCAGTGCTGTTGTTCCCTCTTTGAAAAAAACAAATGATTAAATGTGGACCTTCGTGTGTCATGTGGAACAGTTTTTCCTATATACATAATATAAATAACAGACGCCTGGTTTGATGACGGAGTGGTACTGAAAACTTGAGTATCAAAACCCTGTACAGATGTTTGCAGAGTAAGACTGAAGAGATATTAGAAGCCCTAGTCTTTTATGGGGCCTGTCTTTCCCTGTGTCCAAATGGTCTGGACAGAACCCTGCGGTTCTGATCGTAATCAGTACCTTTAAAAACACATTCCTTTTCAACTAGGCAAAATTTCTGATCCCAGATCTTGAAAATGGGAAAGAGGTGAAACCACTTGAGGTCCATTTATTTTTGTAATGGGATCATTTGTAGGGAACTGAAGGATTTGCGGTGATTTGGTTTTTCCCTTGGTCCACAGGTAGGTGTCACAATTGCTTTGGAAAAAAAAATGTCAGGAGGCCATTCTGTCTTCCCAAGCTCACAAATACAAAAAAAAAAAAAAAAAAAAAAGCTGGACCACATTTTGTGCCACTGTAAAAAAGAAGACGCACAAGGCACTGTCAACCCGCAGACTCTGAGGACTGGACACACTGGTGTCAGACATATGTGAATTTCTTGGCATAGTATAGCTTCCCCGATGTTTGTGTGACTTTTGAAAACAATCTGTTTTTCTCAGGATATCTTGAATTGATCACTTCATTGCCACGGTATGTACTCTATAGGTGTGATAGGATTTACTGTAAAATTTATTTGTAAAAGATGTACACAGTAGAAATAAAACGTGATTGAAGAACCTGAGTCCTTCAGAAGTGGAAACAAATTTGATATTTATTTTTATAATGATATAAAGCTTCTAGTAATTTATGCAAGTTCTATTGCAATGTGATCTAAACTTTTTTGTAAATAAATTCTGCCTGGTTTTTATTTGAACATTGCTGGTTATACAATCTTTGTTGGTTGTTTAACGTGAATTCTTTACTAATTTATATCTTAAATTGTAAATAAAAACAGACTAGTCTACAATAATCTTGTGTTTGGGGCTCATTTTTCCTGAAGAGTGATTTGGGTATGGAGCCCCAGGGATGGTAGCCTCCAGGTGTACTAAGCTCACCTTTTTAATGAAAAGGTGGAGATGATAAATAAACTCTCCTTCCTCCTGTCATAAAAAACGGCAGATGGGAGAGAAATACACAATAGATTATTTATATACAAATGTATGGCAAGAAAATGATTCAGATTTTTTTGTTCCCTGAATATGCAAAGATCTCGCAAGTGTAAATTCCCACAACATGGAAAAATAAAATGATGTGACACCCCTATGCATTTATATTCATTCTATATTCTGGATTCTATGCATTTTATATTTATTTGTGATGCTGGCTTCTGGAACCTCCACAGCAAACTAAGCCAGAGAAGTGTAGTACTATTGATAATGCAAGTTACACTCCCCAGAAGGAATTACTGTTGGAAATAATTGTTTTTTATAAGCTCAAATTATCCAAATTGGCATAGATTATTCACGTTTATTGAAGGACTCTTAACTTTCCTTTTCATATAACTCCCATTAACAGGCAGGGGTTGAGGGGAGGGGTTTCGCTTCTTTTCAGCAGGACTTACCTTACCCTGCGGGAAAAGAAAAGTTTAAAGAGCCTCAGACGATTGATTGTCTCTTTATTTGCCTACTCACGTCCTAATTATAGGACAAGTCTAAAATTTGCAGCCAAATAACATTGCTCCTTTGATTAGTATCATAAAAGCAGCAACCCTGTCACTTCAGCTTTCAGCAAAATTATGTGTATCTCCATATAATGTAATTTCAGAAAAGAAATGAACAATCATTTATTTCCTCTCCAAAGATAAACTGAGTGACTATAACTTACGGTTATAAAACAAGAATAATGGCTTCTCAGATCACCCTTTAATCAATCATACACTTATTTTTCAAGAGGTTCACCTATTTTACTCTGTGATTAATAACGGTGTGCAGGAGAGCATTATTGGGTCCCAGCGGGGGAGAGGGGTCTCTGGTGCTTTTAGCTGCCTTGGAATGGTCAGTTGGGGTTCATTATGGGCTGAGATGGAACGATTTATAACATCTTGTCTGAACATCTGCCCACGCAGATAGGCGAAGTGTCTGAGGATGGGAGATTGCCCGGCCAGCTGATATTGACAAACGGATCTCTCTCCAGTGGCTTTTTGTGCTATAGAAATTAGTGGGCTGTTGCTGGGGTCTCCTTAGAAAGGGTGTTTGAAAGTAATCTTAGTGCTTGATGCAGAGCCAGGGGACTGTTAACTGGACACATCACCCATGGGAGGCGTGATTGTGGTACCACTGAGGGAGACAGGGCTGCTTTGGTTTTCTAGTGCTGTTAGGCTTTTTGTTGGTTTTAAATATACAGGCATACATAAACTAAACCTCTGTGGTGGAGAACTATTTCTGTCTCCTCTCTGCCTGCCCCGGCCATAGGAACAGAGATGTTTGGAGCAGAGCTGTTGCTTGGCAAAGCCACCCTGGGCACTGTGTAAGAACGCAAATGGAGCCCTGGGAAAATCAGTGAACTTGGGTGTATTTCTTGTTTGGGTTTCAGACGGAAAACCTCCTTAGGATTCTTACAACTAGAATGGTATTCTTCTCCCAGAGTATTTTGCATTGCAGTGTGAAGGTACTGAAGTAGTTGGCTTTGTTAATATTAGCCACGTTTACTAATCTTCAGGGAAGGAGGTGCACTGGGCAGCAATATCTCTGTCCTGTGTAACGCTGTAACTGGAGGATTTGAGAACTTCTGTGAACAGTTTGAAAGTCAGCAATATTTAACAAACCAAACTCCACATGAACTCTAATGAGGATACAAGAGTGGGGTGTGGGGGAGGAAACCCCAAGCCAAATTGATGTTCATGCCTGTGTTGAGAATTTGAAGCCTGGTTAAGTTGCTGTTCTGAAACAGGGGAGATTGTCTTACCTGGCCACGGGATCCTGGTCCCTTTTCCTGCCCTCAACCAGCCAGATCCCCGTCCTCAGGGACTGTGGGCACATTTCAGTTGGAGAAAACTCCAAGCAGCTCAGGACATTAGCCAAGCCTAATGAAGCTTCTTTGATGTTTCTATGCCCAACAAATTATCAAAGATGTCTCTCACTTAACCACTGTGCCTCCTGAACTGATTTCTTTCTGGAGAACTTGATTTTAAATATACTCTAACAAATTAAAACCCGCAGGTGTTTAGGGTTTACAAAAAGAAAAAGAAATGTAGAATGATTTGTGAGTTTTTCTCCATGCAGGTCATTTGGGAAAGGGGGGACAGAGAGAGAAAGGAGAGCTTCCTCGGTGGGGACAAAGTAGCGGCTGAGACGCCTTTGCAGAGGTTGACTGCGGCCCCCGGGGGACACTGCGAGCGGCGCAGAGGGCTTGGGCGTTGGCCGTGGCGCTGCTGTCCTGCAAGCCTGGACGCGCTCCTGGCTATCCGGCCGAGCTGGCGCTGTCAGGCCACGACAGCCCCTCTGCCCTCTGCGGCCGCGGTTCCCTTAGAGCTGATTTATCGGAATTTGCGCTTTAATCTCAGGTGGGCCCCGGGGGGCCCGGCCTGCCGAGAGCACTAGGGGCGCTGGCCCTGCGGCCGGCGCGGGCGCTGCCTCCCGCGCCCGTCAAATGTCAACATTTGTTCCCAATAAAAGAGTTATTGTTTCTGCAAAGCTGCTCAGCAACTGCCTTTGAAACTTGAAAAGAACTTCATCTACCTTTGTCTGATGCGAGGCCCAGGGGCGGGGAGTGGAGGAAGCTGATGGGGGAAGCCCTGGCCTCAGCTCAGCAGCCTGGAGTCTGGGGGTGAGCCTCCCTTTTACCTTGGTGCAAGGTGGCCTCCCAAGCACTTTCTGAAGGCTGGGGACTCTGCAGGAGGCACTCTGCAGAGCTGGTGTTCATCAGATAGCTGCAGACTCTGGGTTCCAACCGCGTGAAAAAACGCTGGGACCAAACCGCACTCCTTGCAAAACCCGCGCGCATCTTAGGTCCACATACCGTCGCATTTCAGTATTTATGGAACAGAGTAAAAGTAAAGCACACCCTTTCCAAAATGTTCCAGAATGAATGGACACCAAACTACGACTGTTAGAGAGCAGTTAGACAGGCGTCACTTTGAAAAAATCATTTCAAACCAGTTTATGATCTAGTCATAGGCAAGACATTATAAATTTAAATAGCACTGAATCATTAGAAAGTTTTCCTCAAGTAACTATAGATTCTGGCTGTATAATTTTCTTTCGTTACCCTGTACATTGAAAATGCCAAGGAAAACATTCATTTAAATCTCAAATTAAAAATGTAAATAGATTTATTAAATGTTTTTAAAGCACTTTTATGAAAAAGCATTTAAAATGTTTTTTAAAATATATTAACCCGAGGTAATCATGGGAACAGTATACAGCCTTCCATCCTGTGTGGATTTTATGATTAGCAGAATTTGAATTTATACAAATCACAAGGGGACATTTCCCTTTGATGTATTTTCAAATCTTCATGAAACTGACAAATCCCTTACAGATATTTTAAAGGCTTATTTTAAGGAGAAGAAATCTATAGCAATATAATTTTCCATTTGCTGAAAATTACTTTCTATTGGTCTTGAGGATGTTCAGATCCTCCCCTCCCCCCTCCAGCTGGAAACCCATGGATCTGGTAGAGAACAATGGGTACTTGGAACTTAGTCGTCCTGGGTGAAAGAGAAAATTCGGCTAACTCCAGTTTTAGGGCTTAAATACCACAATTAACACGCTTCTCTAGGTTCACCAGCACTGCACGCAAACAGGAGTAGTCTCTCTGGCATCCCTGTCCCCTCCTTCCTCTCAGCAGAGAAGCTGTGTTGTCTAGAGTTAGAAGAGAGTGTTCCCCTTTCTAAGAAAGATGAAAATTGAAGACATTTATTTAGGATGGTAATACAATTAAAACCGAGTTCTGCAATCCCAGGTGAAAGGAAGGAGGAAGAATGCTCTTGTTTGTTTGTTTAATTCTAACCCCAAGATCACAAGGAAACTTAAAAGGTGTCCCAATATTATTTTGTTCTATAAGGAGCTGAATACAAGTTAAATTTAATACTTTTAAATAATTGACTGAGGTTTGGGGCTGCCTCCAAATTCAGAGTCGATCTTCATAGGAAATGCCCAGAGGGGAGAAACAAACACAGTGCTACACCAAGCACTGGCATTTTTGTGGGGAGATAAATTGACAATTTATTGTGTGTAACTCCTGATCAATTATTAATCGTTAGTGTCAACAACGGGGTTATAATTACCTTGGGTTATTTTAAGAAATATTTGCTTTTTCATTTCTCTGATCTGGTAATTAGTTAGTGCTCTTGAGAAATGAATTCCAGGAAGAGCTGATCAGTCGTAACCCCTCCTCCTCCCCTCCTTCTTAGTGACCTTTAAGGGGGAAACACGTCCACTCTCCTGGTCTCAAAAATTCCCTCCTTGCCTGCATTCTACCAGGGGGCACCTTTTATTTTTCTGCCATAAATAATGATTCCAGAGGAAAGAGGGAATGACAAACAAATATAGCGCAGCTGGAATTAACAAGGCTGATTAAAGGAAGCGGGGCCGGGGCTGCTCGCCACCGCGCAGGTCCGAGGCCAGCGTAGGTGCTGGCAACCTCGCCTCCCCTGCGACATTGAGAGAAGGGCTAGCACAACGGTTTAACCCCTGACTTCGTGTAAGGTGTAAGGTGGGCGGGTGGGAGGACCCTTCTTTTAAAGACTTGCTAAATTCAGCGACGTGGGCCAACCCCAGCCCGGCAGGGAAGAGCGCAGCAGCGCAGCACCTTCGCTCCGCGCGGGCGCCTCGCTCCGCACCCCACCTCCCGCTGCAGAAAGGAGGGGCGCGGAGGCTTCCTGGACCCCGAAAGGTTAAGAGCAGCCAGAGGAGGCGGAGGCGGCGGGCTGCGCGCTGGCAGAACTGGAGATGCAGTCGCGCTGTCGCGGTGCCCTGGGCCTGGGCGCCGCGCGTTCTTCCCGGGGTTGGGGCCATTTCCCACACCTGG